TCTTTAAAAACTGCATTAGATTGCTATAAAAATAAAAATAAATTAATAAGCAAAAATGAATTGACTCAACTTAGTTGAGGAATATCCCTGTTATGTAATACAGTGTAACTCGATTTATTTACTCAAGATGGCGATCTTAAGTGATTGTTTACAACATTTCACGAGTACATGAGTTTCACTGAAAACAAAAACTTTATTTTTTATTTAAACTTTTTAACTTTTCAATAACTAAAATGAGCTTTACTGTGTGCCAAGTACTGAAACGCTTTTCCGTACGATCGACAGCAGCCCAGTGGCGATGTTTGCGTAAGTGATGCGGGCTAAAAACTTCATACTTTCTAACTTGTTTTGTTTTTGCACCAGATAATCAACATCAGAATCTCCTTTCTCATAGACAAACAAAGTTAGGTTTAAACATGCAGAGGGCAAATCACCTTTCATCACAGGCACTCAAAGCTAAACCTAGTCCGGCAATTCTCAGCACACAACCTAGAAATCCCAACTGGCGGGAATCCACTTCGCTGATAATCACTGCCAAGGACGATCACAGCAGCAGTGATCAACAGTTCAACTACTCAGTGCTGATGGTGAAACGGTCCGGCGGCAGCTCCTTTATGCCTTCCACCTTTGTTTTTCCCGGCGGTCGTGTGGAGCTCTCTGACTTTGACACAAAGTGGTACTTGCTGTACGCCAAGTACGGCCTGTCACCTGCTACGCTGGACGAGTCAATCGGCAGGGATATTACCGGTCCGAGGCCGCCCATTGTGACCAGTCCACTGAGCGCTAGGGAGGTGATCAACTCGAAGCAAACCATACTCAATCCGGAGATTGCCCTGCGCATCACCGCCATCAGGGAGACCTTTGAAGAGGCGGGCGTTCTCTTGTTGACCGCTCCAGAGGAGCGCCACCAGGACTGCACTCCGACGCAGCTGAGCTCTGCTGACCTAAGCACCTGGCAGCTGCGGGTACGCAATGACGGCTCGAGCTTCTTCGATCTCTGTGATAGTCTGCAGATGGTGCCCAACATTTGGCATCTTCACGAGTGGACAAACTGGCTGACGCCGACGAATAACCACAACAAACGGTACGACACCATCTTCTACATGGTCTGTCTGCCCCGACGACCTGACGTTGTCGTGGACAATGCCGAAGTGACGATGCCTATGTGGACGAGCCCTCTGTCTATTTTGGAGGAGCACCACAAAGACCAGGTCTTTGTGGCACCTCCCCAAGTGTGGGAAATGTCGAGAATGCTGCACTTCTCCCACCTCGATCAGCTGCAGCACTTTGCTCTGTCCCGCCAGCGGCAGGGTCTGGAGCGGTGGATGCCCGTGGTGACCGCCCTCAACGATGGCACGCTCTTCTTTCTGCCCGGAGATGAGCGATACCCAGAGGCGCCGGAGATGATCGCCAACGAGCCAATACCTAGTCTGGACAGCACCGTGGAGGAGCAGGAAGCAGTGAGCTGCAAAAATCTGACCGTCATGAGGGACGGCCACTTTGAGTCGGTGTGTACGGTAGAGCCAATCTGCGGCCACAAACAGCCGATTCGATTTTCCGGCACGTTCACGGCTCAGTAGCAGTGGCTAAAACCAGTGATGTTTCCTTCTGGCGAATAAATTGTTCTGAGTTCAGGACATCTTTCGGTTATCTTTACTAACTGCACCTACTAAGAAGTAATGAGGATGTGTGCACTTTCTTACTATTGTAGTATAATGGGATTGTCCTTCAAATGGGCTCTTTCTATTTGCTGGCAGTGTTTGTTCAGGCGGCTGAGGCAGCAGCAGCAGCGGCGGCGGCGGTGTTTGCCAATCTGCAAAGCGAGATGCGTTCAGATGTCTGAAAGATGCCCGCGTGCACTGCTGCTACTGCTCCCTTGCTGTGCTGGTGATCATCGATTGCAGATGGAGGAGATTTTAGAGTATATAAAGGAGGCAAAGTGTTTCAAGAGACGCCAATCGAAGAGCAGCTCTGCTGAGGAGTTTACTGGTGACTACAGCCAACCGAGAAGTCTCCGATTTCACCACAATAAAATGGCATCCTCTCAACCAAAGGTACAGTGATGAAATTTTTTTCTTTTAATAATTTTGTTTTCTCTTACTCCCTCAGCCAATCACCTGTCGTGCGGCGGTGATGCGCGACTACAACGCCCCACTGACCATTGAGACGATCACCGTGGAGCCGCCAACCGGTGACATGGTGCGCGTCAAACTGGTCTCCACCGGCATCTGTCCCTCTGACGCCCACCTCTTTGTGGGCAAGACTAAGCTGACCAGCTTTGGCCAGAAGATGCCCATCATTCTGGGGCACGAGGGCGCTGGCGTAGTGGAGTCAGTAGGCGAGTCGGTGACCGCTTTCAAGGCAGGCGACCACGTGCTGACCAACTACGTGCCAGAGTGCAATGACTGCAAGTTCTGCTCCAGTCCGCTGACCAACTTCTGCATGAAGGAGAACTTTGGCACTCACGCCGCCATTGTCAATCGCAAGACCGCCACCGGTGAGAGTGAGGCGATTGGTGGTGAGTTCGGCCTGGGCACCTTCAGTGAATACGTCCTCCTGAAGCAGTGTCAGGTGGTGAAGATCGACAAGCGGATCAACTTGCAGACGGCGGCCATCATCACCTGTGGCGTGGTGGTCGGCTACACCACTATCATCGATCAGCTGAAGGTGACGCCCCGCAGTACGGTGGCAGTGTGGGGCGTCAACAGCTTCGGCATCGCCGCACTGGCTGCCTGCAAACGAGCAGGTGCTACTAACATTGTCGCCATTGACCGAGATCTGAAGAAGAAGGACCTGGCGTTGCAGTACGGCGCCACTGAGTTTCTTCAGCTAGGACACTCGGAGTCTACCGGTGTGGTGGAGCACCTGCTGTCCAAGTACGGCGGCGCTGAGTACGCAATTGACATTACCGACAGCTCTGAGTACCACGACATGGCCATCAAGGGACTGGCTCCCTATGGGGCAATCGCCTTTGCTGCCATGAGCCCTGAAGGAACCACCTTCACCCTCTCGCTGATGGAGCTCTTTATGGGCAAAAAGCTGATTGGCGGTCTTTGGGGCAACAAACGAGCAGTGGACGCCTATGACGACCTGGTGGAGGCCTATCGAAGTGGCCGGCTTGACCTGGAAGGCATGGTCACCAATCGCTACAAGCTGGAGCAGATCAATGATGCAGTGCAGTCGGTGGTCGAGGAGAAAGCGGTGCGCAGTTTGGTCGTTTTCACCTAGTCTGGCTGTTTTATTGTGTTTTTAAACAATACAATCACTTTTGATAGCTTAATCTACCTTCTTTCAACTCTGATTGGCAATGAGTTAACGGTGAGAATGAGCGAGTTCTTTGCAAACTGAATTGGCACAGGCGTCTCCGGTGTGGCGGTGAACTTGAAACGGGGCAAAATCTTTGTCAGACACAGCTTAATTTCCTGGTAGGCAAATCGCATGCCAATACTGAAAGTAAAATTTGATAAGTCTCAGTGCCTTTGAAAATTTGTTTCCAGTGCGAACTTGCCAATTCCTCGACCCACTTCCGAAAGGCAAATAGGTGTACGGCTGAATGGTATGTCTTCTTTCTGCGCTAAAACGGTCGGGATCAAAACGTTGAGGATCGGGCCAGTACTGAGGATTGTGGTGAAGGGCGTACGTTGACACCTGCACTACGGTGTCCTTCTCCAGTGTCAGAGTGGGCGTCAGATGATAGCCGTCAACGCCGACACGACGTTCAATGCGAGTCAGTGGTGGGTACTTTCGCAGTGTCTCTTTGATGCAACTGTCAAGGTACGGCAGGCTGTCCTTTCCGGTGACCGTCTCGTAGTACTTCTCATCATCCACTGTCAGGCCTTCAAGTGCAAACTCTATCTCTTCTCTGAGACGTTCTTGAATGTCTTGATTTACTGCCAGCTCGTAGATGATGTGGGTCATTGTCTAAAAGTGTTTGAAAATATTGTCATAAATTAAAATATCGTTTTTCAGTTTAGCAAATCGTTACCGTTGCTGTAGTCTCAAATCCGCCTACAAAAAAGCCTAAACATTGGGCTATGCATTCATTTTCAGTTAGTGTCTTTTTTCTAGAGTTGGTT